TTGTATAACTCATAATCAATGACGGATTTATCATGGTGGATTTATACGTGATGGATTTATACGTTCTCCAGAGGTTCCTCCTGGTAACCAATACTCGTTTTACGACCTGTGTCATCCATCAAGTTCCCTTTCTTGTTTTTCTTCTTTTCGTCACATATTTTTGAACGAGTTCCGTGATGACCTTCTTGAAATTTTCCATGATGCTTCCGTGGCATGTTCGCCCATCAGCTCCCTCCATGAGATGATTTGCAGAGTAATAGTATCACCACAAAATAGAACACGATACAATGGGTATAATTTAGATAAATTTAGATTTATAAAAGACCTGGGTCAGTATTGATTCGGTTACTAGGGTTGTTGATTTGTGGGAACCGATAACCAGGTAACATAATAAAAGTAAGATCCCTTGGTTGTTTCAAAACAATTTAATAGGAGGTTCAGGTATTGTTTCTTCATAGGTTGCATGGCGTGTCACCCTCCTTTCAATGACGTCTTCAACATAATGCCATGCAACCTATGAAGAATCAACCAACACAACACCTGTACCTCCTATTAGATTGTTTTTACATGAACTTCTTTTCCACGGCCTATAAGACAGAGTAAAAAAGTCCTGAAAGATATTATTGAAAGGAACATTATCCCCACAGACACCAATCAGAAGATACAATTAACAATTTACTACAAAAACAAGAAGACCGTAAACTTGCTGATGAAAAACTCTCCAGACACCAAAATAAGCGCCTTAAGAGAAGCCAACGTCGTATATGCCTTTACATGTCCATTTGGGGACTGTCAGCCCAAACGATCACAGTATATAAGCAAAACAACATCTCTCTCTAGGCGATTAACAATGCACAAACAACTGGGCTCTATCAAGGAACATGTAATCTCCACACACAATCAAACCATCACCAGAGACCATCAGACCATCACCTTGCCAAGCAACACTGAAATAATCGACAGGTATAACGACAGCTGAAGCCTGGACATCAGCGAGGCGTTACATATTAAGAAGTCCAGACCAGCAATCAACAACCAGCTAACACATAATTACATTCTACCCGCTTCAAGACCCAGAGCCAATGCAGAGACAGCATCCTACCTAAGGAAAATAAGCTGTCCTGTTGATACATTTAATACCCAATTAATACTCCTGATCTATTTATTCATTGTTACATTTAATACCAATTTAATACCCCTAGGCTATGGCATTCATCAACCACCTCACACAAAGAGTATATAATCCGTTGTTAGACACGGTAAAAAAAAACACCGCTCCTATGCCAGGTAAGTCCACTACGGGCTCACCATAGCCGGTGCTACTTGCCCAGCTCCTGTGCCAGGTAAGTTACGGGCTCACCATAGCCCGTGCTACCTGGAACTTGTTCCGAGTAGCTGAATCTATAACAACAACAACACGGTAAAAACCGAACTCAATTTACGGGCTCACCATAGCTCGTGCTACATGGACACTTCGTTCTGAGTAGCTAAATCTGAAACAACAACACGGTAAAAGAGAAGCTTCAGCGCACGACGCACCGCTCCTGCGCCAGGTAAGTCCACTACGGGCTCACCATAGCCCATGCTACTTGCACCGCTCTTGTGCCAGGTAAGTTACGGGCTCACCATAGCCCGTGCTACTTGGAACTTGTTCCGAGTAGCTGAGTCTATAACAACAACAACAACACGGTAAAATTGTCTTTGAAAATGTAAGGTGTACATTGCGAAACGCATCCCTTGGCGTCAGACTATAATAAAGTGTAAAAATTAACTCTGGAGAGTTAATTTTTCAAATTCCCTTGATAGAGATGAAAAACATGAGAAACATTAAAAAGATTCGTGTTAGAATCTTCAATCTTACCCTTTCGGTCATATTCAACAACAACAACATATGTTTGAAAGAAAGACTGCTACTAATAAATATATAGTAGGCATCCGTCAATCCCGTGGGGTTATGGAGTTGTGCCCTGGGTGTCTAGTTGTAGTAGTCTAGTTAGATGCAGCGCCAGCTGTGGCTGTGAAGACCAACCCGAGAATCCCAACTGCAGTCCCATCCCGACTGCAGCGAGCGCAGATAAACGCCGAAGCAGGTGCGTCTGACAGTGGTCGAGACCTCCTCTGAGGTCTATTATCCTCCGCCTGCCTCTTCAGTTCACCCTCGAATTGCTGGAGCCCCTTCTGGACTTTGCATCTCCAGGCAGATCTGTCCGCAGCTGCTGCCTCCCAAGTGTTGATGTCGATGTTCATCTGCTTGAGGTCGCGTTTGCAGGCATCTTTGAAACGCAGCTGAGGTCTTCCTGTGGGTCTCTTACCTGATTATATATATATATATATATATATATATATATATATATATATATATATATATATATATATATATATATATATATATATATTTCTCTCAATATTTCTTATATTTCTTCTCACTGTTGATGGTAATTGAAAAATCAATTCTCCAAAATTCATTTTTGGAGAATTTTTTTATTTCTAGTCTGACGTGACGCCTGAACGCGTTTCGTAATTACCTATAATATTTTCAAAGACTTTAGTTTACATACACAACTGTAACCTGTAAACACGCATGTTGTTTCAGATTTAGCTACTCAGAACGAAGTGTCCATGTAGCACGGGTTATGGTGAGCCCGTTGTAAACACGCAATTTGCTTCCATATTTATAATCGCATTTGGGTGAGGTGATATGGTACAACAGTTTTGGGTGAGGTGAACAAACTTATGACAACACAAGACAGAACACGAAACAATGGGTATTTGTTGGATAAGAGAACATAAGAATGGAAGTAACTGGAAAGGGCCTATTGGCCCATACTTCCTTTTATGCTTCTATATTGGTACGGAATCTTGAAGTGGGTAGAATATAGTTGTGCATTAATTGGCTGTTGATTGCTGGTGTTGACTTTTTGATGTGTAGTGCCTCGCAGATGTCGAGCCGCCTGCTATCGCTGTATCTATCGATGATTTCTGTGTTGTTTGTTAAGACTTCTCTGGTGATGGTCTGGTTGTGGGAAGAGATTATATGTTCCTTAATGGAGCCCTGTTGCTTATGCATTGTTAATCGCCTGGAAACAGACGTTGTTGTCTTGCCTATATACTGAGTTCTTTGGGGCTTACAGTCCCCAAGTGAGTATTTGAAGTCATAGACGACGTTGGTCTCACTTAAGGCGTTCTGCTATGTGTCTGGAGAGTTTTTCATGAGTAGGTTGGCCGTTTTTTTTATAGTAAATTGTCAATTGTATACAATTGTATTGTATTTACAGGTTACAGTTGTGTGTGTAAACTAAAGTCTTTGAAAATGTAATAAGTAATTACGAAACGCGTTCAGGCGTCGCGTCAGACTAGAAACAAAAATGAATTTTGGAGAATTGATTTTTCAATTACCATCAACAGTGAGAAGAAACATAAGAAATATTGAGAAAATTCGTGTTAGAATTATTAATCTTACCTTCTCGGTCATATTTAACAACATATGTTTGCAAGAAAGACTGCTACCAAAATATACTATATATATATATATATATATATATATATATATATATATATATATATATATATATATATATATATATATATATTTTTAAAGTTTGTGAGGGTACCACCTCTGGTGCCAATGTGGGGACCCATAGTCTCGGAGAAGAAAATAAAAAGTATTCAGAGGAGACCTTGTGGTTTCTCACTGAACACTAATATATATAAACATATATATATATATATATATATATATATATATATATATATATATATATATATATATATATATATATATATATATATATATATATATATATATATTTAAAACCTAGAAGGGGTATATATATATATATATGTGTGTGTATATCACGAAAATAAACACGTGATTAAGAATGTGACAATGTCAGACCACGGAGGAAAAATGAAACAGGAAATTTCCTTAAGTACTTTCGTATATTAAATACATCTTCAGAAGGTTTCCTGTTTCATTTTTCCTCCGTGGTCTGACATTGTCATATATATATATATATATATATATATATATATATATATATATATATATATATATATATACACACATATACATACATACATATACACACACACACCTATACACAGGCTGCGTGTCCCCCAACAAAATTTAAAAAAAATAAATTAAATTAAATTATAGAATAAATTCTGCGATTTCACACGGTTCAAGGTCGGTGGAATAAACTAGTTGTGGTAATACTATTGGGAAGTTCGACCAACCTAACGCCAACAAAGCTTTGCCATGATTGGTGGCGGCAGTACCCAAGCTATCCCTGATTGAATCCGGTTAACGTGAAGAACCACGGTTTAAATCCTATAAAATAGTCCTCCACAGACGATGATGTTATAAATTAACAGACTTTTTTTAAATCCTAGGTAAAATATAATGCGCAAAATCTATTACAAATCCCTCATCTTCTTAACATTTGCAATTAAAGACATCTTCCTTACCCCTAGACAACCATATATACGCGTGGTGTCCCCGACGGCATCACCTGAGCAACTCCCGCGCTCCGCCTCGCTTGCCACTCTATCAGAATTTTTCATGACTTCGTCACGTCTCATTTAGTTTCGTACAACTACATCAATTGTTCACTTTCTGAAATTGCTAGGATGGTTTTGGAGTAGAGTGTGTCAGCAGGTGTTTGGTCACGTGTGTATGGTAGGAGCAGAGAGTGGGAGGAGGCTGTGGAGACGCTGTATTATGTGTAAGGAGGGTGGGTGAGGACAGCCGGGACTCGCGCACTTCCCAACACTCCCTTGTTCCCACCACCGCATGATAGCATAATGTCACGGGGAGACCAATAATTGTAAAACAATATATATACTGATATTCAGAAGCAGACAGATCATGTCAGAGGTTAAGTAGCATGGCGAAGCTTAAAAATACAAATTCCGGAATTGACAGAGGGGTAAAGTGAAGGTGTAATATTTGTATGAGACAAGCTGCGCGTCGGTCCACGGCTCGCTGGACCAGTAATGGCGGGCGGGCCACTGCGCATGCCCGTCGCGCCTATAACGAAATGGAGCGCTGTGTAACATTCGCTAGTGTTCGCTCTGCCGACCAATCAGCATTCAGCTTTCAAGTCAGAATCGCGGACGGGGCCCGCAAACAACATCGGAGGAGACTAGCGCCAGTCACCGAGCACCTGCCTCTCTTGCCAGTGAACTGAGTGTAAGGAATATTAAGGAGACTAATTTTTCATCCTTAACACCACTGCCGACTGTTCCCGGGCTGCCCAAGTGTTAATCGATCACAGATACACCGCTCACGGTCAATAGCAAGAGTCTTTATTACTCCTGCTCAACTTACCACCACCAATTGACTTTTACACACTTCAGCATGTCTAAATGTGGGTCAAGTGCAGTTGAAGAGGTCAAGGCCACTAATGGGGAAGCTGTCACGGACGAGGGGCAAGACACTGACAATGACTCTACGAAGAAAGATGATGATAAACCATCAAACAGCAAGGACACTGGCGTAACCACAAGTGCAAGTGAGAGCGTAAACACGGCAAGTGTTGGAGCTGTGCCCAGAGATGGTGAACCCTTGCAAGCCGACGCTGATTGCATACCACAATGTAAAGCTGATCCTGAAGATGACATCACTATTCATGACAATGAAGTATTTGAATTCGAAAAGGAAAGGGAAATAGACGCTACAGATTCATGTTTCAAAATAGATAAAGTGTATAGCGTGGCTAATGAACTTAACACCGGAGATAGCAAAATAACAGGTAGCGGGAAACCGGAAGATAAAACTGAATTAAAAGTTAAGGAAGGAAAAAAATCTATAGAAACAGGAGAGGGTTCTGAGACGAAAGAAGACAAGACCGGAGTGAAGGCAGAATCCAAGAAAACGAAAGAAGAGAAACAAATAAAGCCGAAAGCAGCGCGGCCAGCCCTTGCTAAGGTGTCCACCCTGACGGCGGGGGTTGGGGGCGTCCGCGTGCTGGGCGGGGGGGTTCGAGGCGCAAACATGCCTCTTATAGTTAGCATGGGTGCTGGGAGTCCCGGGATACCTCTCCTCCCAGCGGGACTTCCACCCGGACGATATGTCATTCTCCCGGGCACCTCCAGCACCACCAAGACCACAAGCTGCGCCACGGTCACCACAATGTCTGCCAATCTCAACCCCCGCCTGGCCACCAGCGTTGCTGCTAGCGCCACTCGGAACCTTGTTGCCGCGCAGAAGGCTCTCGCCGCACCCCCCCACACTCCGGCCGCCGCCGCCGCCCCCCACACCACGGGAGGCAGCAAGATGTACACACGTGAGAGAGGCCGTCGTAAGTCATACACCGCCGGAGAAAAATTAGCCATGATTGAAGCAGTAGAGGGCGGGCAGAGGAAGAGTGCGGTGGCAGATCGTTTCGGGGTGGCACCCTCCACTCTTGCTTGTATATTGGCTCAGAAAAACAAAATACGAGCAGAGCAGGTAAATATGGAATGATTAATCGGCAATTTACAAATACAACACAAATACCGGGACTTTCCAATGTGGAGGGTTTATTCAAAGATTTCCATCGCATTAGTACCTGTATATATTGCGACTCAATAATTCATTGATATTTTTGTTTATATTGACTTTATTGGCCGTTACCAAATTGGGGACATAATAAAGTATAGCCTCTTAATAAATGTAATTCCTTTCTAGGATAATCTGGCCCGCAGGCGCGTTCGTCACGCCAAATATCCGTTACGTGAAGACTTCCGTGGCAAGGCACCTACTGTGGGCACTACCCTGCGGTTCAGCCCACCCACTGACATCCCCTTCACCCACTTCCTGGCCCCACTCTCAGCACCCACCTCCACGCTGCTCGACACTCAACCCGAGGAAATCATTGCAGGTAAGTAGCAACCATCTATTTCTTAATATCTTTATTATCGATATTGGTAAGGATGATAATTATTACGTTTTTAATATTTGTTTGTTTTGATTTCGAAAATTTAGGTGATGATAAATCATAAGTAATTCTCAAAAGAAGGCACCAAACCGAAATCAATAAGAATTAAAGAGCAGTTCGTAAAAACTCAGTAATTCAACATTACAGCGCGTTCTCATTGCAACAATGTTAACGTTTGTTAGGGAAGCGAGAGAACTTACAAAAAAGCCATTTAATCTTATCGACCCTTATTGTATTATTGTAGTACCAGTGATTTAGGCACTGATATTGCCAATGCCCAAAACTATATGAAGAGCTACAGTGACGTATGATACGTCACAAACTGTTACAATAAGTTTTTCATCTCTCAGAATGATCCATATTTTGTACTTCTATCCATAATAACTATATAGGTGCTAAAAATAATAAAAGTACCTATAGTTAATGTGGATGAAAGTAATATAGACGTGCACCCATAAAAGTTCACATTTTGGCCTATTAGTGTTGTAGGCTTTATCATTCATGTACAGGGTCCGGAAAAGAAAGCAACAACGGAACCTATTGTTTCCCAGGCCTAGTACAGTATATATTCTGCTTCTTGGTGTATATACACTGAGAGTTTACTCTAATCCTGAGCTAGTTCAGTACTAAAGTTTACCTGCTGGCTGGTCAGTAAGGTATTGTGGTGGCTTTAATAATACAACCCCCCCACCCCACCTCCCCGCGGTTGATAGGCTTTCAGTTCAACACCAACCCAACCCAGTTCATTTTTACATACACCACAGGAGGTGCTCAGGCTTGGGAGGCCCGTTTCCTGTAGCTGCCTGCCACATGTATCGGTAGCTCAACTTGATTCTTATTACTATATTGTGCGGTTGACGCTTTCTGTCGTCCGTTTACATGTGATGTTGATATTAACAAATCATAATCTGTAATACCGTTTCAATCAAGCATGTCAGTGACTAATTTGTCCAATTGTTTGGAATTGTATGATAAAGACAGTAGAGATAGGGATTGCCTAGGTCTGTTGACCAGACCACACACTAGAAGTTGAAGGGACGACGACGTTTCGGTCCGTCCTGGACCATTCTCAAGTCGATGGTCTTGACCATTCTCTATCGACTTGAGAATGGTCCAGGACGGACCGAAACGTCGTCGTCCCTTCAACTTCTAGTGTGTGGTCTGGTCAACATACTTCAGCCACGTTATTGTGACTCATCACTTGCCTAGGTCTGTTTCAGTTTCATGTGTTACATGCTAATTCCTAGAAAAATGATACGTTACAATTAATTTTTTTTCTGTTGGCAATGTTCGCGTAAAAAAACGCATAAGATTGCTCTATGAATGTCAGTTGGCCATTTATCTTGGTTAAATTTGCTCTTCTCAACATTTGTGCACTTAATCAGCTAATGTTCAATGTCTTGTGTAAACCAGGCTTTTTGATCGATTTCGTGCATGCTCGGTATGTTGTTCGGTCAAATTTAATGAATTTGGTCACAAGTTGTAATTTTTTTGGTGTGAGGTCTTTATCAAGCATTTCTTAATAAATACTAAATCAAATGCTAATAATGCTAGTGAGGATACGTACATGACCCATCATATTATCAGCAAGAGTAGTGATATATTATGAAACGTCGAATCTACTTTTTTTTCTAATCGATGTACATAAAATATATATATATAATATACAAGACGTTGATGTAGATGTGCAGCATAAACAGCACGAATGAAACTTAATAAAGTCAGTTCTTTGCTAGCTCCGTCGTGTCTCAGACTTGGCGAAGTAATCAATACCCAGTGGAGGGCGCGACCAAAAAAAAATTTGTTATTTAACAGCACTGGACGTAGTGCTGCTGGGCGTTAGAACATCAGATTCTTGTTTGACTTGTGCAACACAGATGTCTGTCATTTCCCATAATCAACAAAACATAAGCTTGTGGTTTCCTTAATCCCGACGAAACAAATTACTGTATTATAATCTCGGGACAAACGGCAACCCAGTGATTTCGGTTGGACGGTAGAGCGACGGTCTCCCTTCATGCAGGTCGGCGTTCAATCCCCGACCGTCCAAGTGGTTGGGCACCATTCCTTTCCCCCCCCCCCCGTCCCATCCCAAATCTTTATCCTGACCCCTTCCCAGTGCTATATAGTTGTAATGGCTTGGCGCTTTCTCATGATAGTTTCCTTCCTTCCTTCGGGACAAACGGCATTTATAGCATGTAACATCATGGCTGAAATCCTGAAGCATTGCTAAGTAATAATTGTCATTGTAACAGGCAGCCAGTTTATACACGCATGTACATGTTAGGCTTATATATCGAGGACTCCCCACCACGGAAAGTTGAAATACTGGGCCCCCCCTGCCAAGGATATAACCCCATAACAAGCTGACTAACCCCTTTACTGCTAGGTGGACAGGGGCGTTGGGCAATAAGAAATGTGCCCAACTATTCCTGTCCCGCCCGGTAACGAACTGACAGGACATGTTTGCCCTTTATCGAGATCCGCCCCCCCCCCAAAGGATGTAGCCCTACTCCAGTAACATAGCTATATGCACTAATTCCCACGACACAGGTTGTCTCAATTTGTTAAGCTCTTTATTTACCACGTATCTAATAATTCTCTATTACACGAGCACCATCTCCATTATGCGAGCACCATCTCCATTATGCGAGCACCATCTCCATTATGCAAGCACCATCTCCATTATGCGAGCACCATCTCCATTATGCAAGCACCATCTCCATTATGCTGGCACCATCTCCATTATGCAAGCACTATCTCCATAATGCAAGCACCATCTCCATTATGCTGGCACCATCACTATGCGAGCACCATCTCCATTATGCAAGCACCATCTCCATTATGCAAGCACCATCTCCATAATGCAAGCACCATCTCCATTATGCGAGCACCATCTCCATTATGTAAGCACCATCTCCATTATGCGAGCACCATCTCCATTATGTAAGCACCATCTCCATTATGCAAGCACCATCTCCATTATGCAAGCACCATCTCCATAATGCAAGCACCATCTCCATTATGCGAGCACCATCTCCATTATGCTAGCACCATCATTAGCAGTTTTCTTCACTAGTTTTTTCATTTTGACGACCTTTTATCTAGAATGTTTCATATTTAAAACAATAGTACACAAAGTGGTCTCAATGTCTTCATTTATTGCTTTCCCGTTTGCCCACCGTGTGCCGGACTCAGGGTTAAAATTAATACATGTTGAACAACAAATATGCTCAGCCTTTTATTTATTTTGAAAGTGTTTTTATAGTAGAGTTGTTGTTGTTAAAGATTCGCTACCTGGAACAAAAAGTTCCAAGTAGCACGGGCTATGGTGAGCCCGCAGTGCCTTCTTTTATAGTAGAGATACCAAGAGAAAAGATTTTAAAGGTAATATCACAAAACGTTCGAAATTTAAAGGGAAATTCGAAGTTTTAAACAAAAAAGCAAACAACTCGAATAACATATTACACATATTTTCAAAAGATAAACAAACAAAACAAAAAACTAATTTGTGACAATTATTGAACATGGTTGGTTCCAAAAGTCACAAGTGTTGCTGGCTCTCTTTGAATACTGTTATTAATTTGTTTAATCGAGAACGTGAAGGCAGTCATCGCGGGAAATTCAAACGTGCTGCGTTTTCGTTAATTTCGACCCTTGCTTGATACGAAGATGAACATTTAAGAATTCCAGACACAATCAGGAAGCAGGTACAGCGCAAGCACGCACACGCAGACGGATCACGTGGAAAACACAAAAACAAAAATCTTGTAAATATTCGTTTTGCAGAAAAAATGAAATAGTGTTTCAAAAGGAGACCGCTTGATTTTACCAGCTAGTTTAGTTAGTTTATTATGCACCCGATACGCATCCTGTAGGCGATAGTGGAAAGGGTCACAGAGACATATAATGGGTAAAATGGGAATTGTGTAAAATCCTGGTTTGTGTCTGAGAGACTGCAGGATCCAAGTAAATTCAATAGAATTTCTGGTTGCAATTCTTATACAATGTCGTAGCTCAGTCGATTAAGGCAGCGTCTAGGATGCTCTTGGACGTAGGTTCGAATCCTCGTCACGGCCCTTGTGGATTTGTTACATATAATGGGCTCAGGGACTGAACCCCCAAATTCATTTAGCTAAGCAAGTTACAGTCTCGATAAACGTTCACACTCCATCACATAGTGATAGAGGGTGTGCGAATAATTTTGTCGAGTTTAAATTTGATCTGGTCTACATCAGCAGGCAATGAATGACAATTTCCAGAGATACTGTTAGCCTAATCTAAGCCGAGAAGTAGTAACATCTAGGAATGTGCTAGTTTTACTGGATGATCCATAGATGTGTGGATCATCTTAGCATGATAGTATGATGATAGATGGAATTACTAGTGTAAATTTAACTTTGCTGGTGATTTGTAGCGAACTGATGGAAGGTGTAGCCAGTCAGGGAGGTTTAGATGCTCTAGAGCGCGACAAGCTTCAATTACTAAGCCTTCCTTTTAACACCAACATGACATTGGTTCTGAACCGCGCTGGCAGTGGGATTCCTGTCTCGTTGCTGGACCTTCACCTTGCATCCTTTGCCTATTACAATATCAACATTGTCGCCATCCGTAGCTTAGAAGACTTAACAAACGAAAATAAAGTAACAATGTGTTCATTCCTGATTAAAAGGCGAAATATAGGGACAAGAAAAAGGTAAAAAAAGACTATCTGGACGCGTAGTGTTCTTTGAGGAGCACACCTCTCAACCATTGTTCAGCCCCACCACCAGGGTGAAGGTTGCCAGCGACTGATACCTCTGCTCTCTGTACTCAAGGTGAATCTGCATTTTATCACTCTACGAGTTACACAATGCGGTAAATAAGAGTGGAGAAGCTGCCACTGAAATACCCTTCTACGTATGAGATATGCAGACCGTATCATCGTCATATTTGCCGCCCAA